GAATTAAGATGAAGACAGCTTTCATCTCTCTCTCTCTCTCTATATATATATATATATATATGTGTGTGTGTGTGTGTGTGTGTGTGTGTGTATTTGCTGAATTAAGATGAAGACAGCTTTCATCTCTCTCTCTCTCTCTATATATATATATATATATATGTGTGTGTGTGTGTGTGTGTGTGTGTGTGTATTTGCTCAATTAAGATGAAGACAGTTTTCATTACTGACACCAATGTTGCAAGCATCCATTTGTGGCAGGCTTAATGTATAAATACATAATGTTTAAGAACTATAGTGAATATCCACTAAATTCTGTGAGCTACAACTTCAGTAGTAAAGTTGCAATGTACAAATTGGGCTCATCCAAAACTCTGTGCCAGTATTTTCCCATTTCCATAGGGGTGGACTTCAAGTCCCAGAATCTTCAGTAATGGGCAGGTTTACTGAGGAACTCTGGGAAATGAAGTCCACACACTTGGGAATGGCTGAGATCGGGAAACAGCTCTAATTCAAAAGCAAGTCATACTGTGGCTTATAAATCATGGCTTAGAGTACTGTGTGAGTTAATCCAGCCAAATGTGATTAAAATAAATCAGGTGCCAGTTGTGGTTTAGCAGGATGTGTGATCTCAGCCAATATTCAGCACTGGAGCTTATGAAGCAAGAGATATTTGGAGGGCAGAACATGCAACTGAATTCTGAATAATTTACACAAGTCAAAATTTGTATGGAAAGGGAAGTGCAAAAGTTCAGTCAATGGGAAGAAGCCCAGAACATGAGGGCTTTCTTACCGGTCTCTTCATGGGCTTAAGGATCAATAAAACAGCCATGGTTTGCTTAGCGCCAATTAAACAGTTGGATCCCAAAGTCAGACCACTAATCACCAGTGAGCTAGTTTGGGGAGAAAAATGAAAAAAAAGGAAGTTACAGAGATGTAGGAAGACTATGAGACAGATCACCATCACCAGGAAGGAAAACACAGGAAGCAGAAAGAGTATGTTTTGAGGGTCAAGTAGCTGAAAGCACCATTTGCACCAGGACACCAGCAGAAGTCATCTGTTTTGGGCACAGATCTACTCTTGGACAGTCTTTAATTTTCCAGAACATCTCCACATGGGCTGAAAACGCCAGGCTTTCAAATGCAGCAGCCTTCAGCAAGTACTGTACATCTATCCTCAGCACCACACTCTCGGCTGTCCAACCATGTGGCTAATTGAACTGGATGTCTTAGAAAGCTTAGAGGGACCACCTGTCTTTAGAAATGATAAACCCAAATGAATGGCCGTGTTGTCTACTTATGTAATGTGGCCCCACTTCAGAACTGCAGAACAAGAATGGGGGGGGGGGGGGGCTTTAAAAAAGGAAATACCCCAAATTGCAATGAGAACAGAAATGGTTAATGGCCCCAGAATGCTGAGAGAATATAGAACATCAGTGAGAGGAGAATGTAATGGAGTGCCCAGGAGAAGGGCATGACTACTGGCTGGCAGACATGCAGATAGAATGTTCCATTCTGCAATGTTTTGTTGCAAGCTCCGTTTGTCATACCTAAGGATCCTGGATTTGTCTTGCAAACCCACCCTCTGAAAATTAATTGTGGGGCATGCAAGTATGCCACTCCAAACAACCCCCTTTACAATGCCGATCCGTTTTTCACACATACAAAGGTGGTCTATCTAATCCACCAGTCCTTTTCTAACAGGGATCCTCCTTGCTGTTGATCCTTCAAAACTGGTACACTGCTCCTGAATGTGGAGGTTTCACTTCGCCTACCACTGCTACTGTATTATGCCTCCGTGAATGTATCCCAGTTGCACTGCCCCCTCTTATGATTCACTATTCCATTACTGCACCCTAGTCATTATTGCACCCTAGTCAAACACAACAGAAGAGGGGAAAAAATAGATTTATTGTGTCTATTTGAATCTCAAACTGATAATAGCCCTTTTCACACAAAATAGCTTTCTTCCACCATCAAAACACCACTGAGAGTTTTGCTCCTCTGAGACCATCCACATGTTGAAGATTTGGGGGGAGGGGAAAGAGAGAGAGATTTCAGAATATAAAGAATTACAGTATCACACATGAAATGTATCTATGTTAGGTCTACAGATATCAGCTATGGTAGGGATTTGTTAATGACATGGAAGGGCAAAAATACATATTGAGATTTAGTGATCAACTATACTTTGAAAGAGACTGGCAAGGAACATAAAAAATGCTTCCCAACACATACACACAAACGTGTGCTAACAAATTCCTGATCAACAACATGGAACTCAATGAGCAATAACATAGCTGGGTCATCTCTGTACGACCTACATGCATGGCCACGGGATGGCAAAAGTCATTGGTTCCATCTCATCGCCCCCCACTTCGTGCTTAATTTCAGCTGCTGCTGCCCAAAGGGCCAATACAATGGGGGGCTGCATCAATGGAGGTATTGCGTCAAGATCACGGGAAGTGACAGCCCCTCTCTACACTGCACTGGTCAGACCACACTCGGAATACCATGTCCAGTTCTGATCCCCACAATACAAGGACGCTGGGGAATTGGAAAGAGTGCAGAGACCTTGGTCTCTAGACACATGGAGATAAACCACATTTACACACCATTCAGAAGAGACAATAAAAAGGCTCTTCTGAAGGAAGACCAGAACACAACTTCTCCAGCAGCCACCACCCAGATAAGCAGGGATTAACACCAGGCAAACCATCAAGCAGAAAACAAAACCCTAATGAAGGAACTACCAAGGAGAAAACCACACCCCCACCAACATTGGCAGGGCAAGCTACTGTATATAAACAGGGAGCAAATCCCACATTCACTAGCACTGATGATGTTGGCTAGTCAGGTAACGAAATGTCTGCAGGCAAACCACCAAGCTCAGAGAGCACCAAGGACTCCATGTTCAACCCTGAGCTACAGACAGTCTCTTCTATTAGAGTGCAGAGAAGAGTGATGAAGATGGTGATGGGCTTGGAGGCTAAATCCTATGAAGAACAGTTAAAGGAGTAGGAAAGGCTTAGCCTAAAGAAGAGAAGGCTAAGGAGACATGAAAACCGTCTTCTAATACATGAAGGACTATCATGGGGAAGAGCATGTGAATTTAATCTCCAGGGCTCCCAAGGGTAAGAACCAGTGGATGGAAGCTTCACAGATGGGGGATCCAAATGCAAAATTAGGAGGAATTTCCTGCCCTTGAGTGCTCTTAAGCAGAGAAACGGCCTGCCTCCTGAAATCATGGAGGCTCCATCCCTGGAGGTTTTAGGTCAAGGTTGGGCAGCCATTTATCAGGGATGGTCCAAGGATTCCTGCCACGAGAAGGGGGTTGGACGAGAAGGTCCAAGGTCCCCTCTACCCCTAGGATCCCATGAAATAAGAGAAATACATCACACCAAAGTTAATGTAACGTTGGGAAACCTAAGAAATCAACTCCGAATTCCAATGCGAGGACGATTCATTCTTTTCCATCTTACACTTCAATTTCCACCCGTTTGTGGCTAGTGTGCAACTTCTAAAGACCAATGCACAGATTCTTAAGGTTGCATCCGACTGATTATTATTATCAGTAGAATGATGTTGCCCACCACAGATTGCCCACCCATTCATCCACTCTAATCTGCTTTGAACAGCAGCGAGACCCTCCAGAAATGATTCTGCTCTAGGGAATCATAGAATACAGGATGTAAATACTAGCCATCTTTAAACATCTAGGGCAGTGTTTCTCAACCTTGGCCATTTTAAGATGTGTGGACCTCAGCTCCCAGAATTCCCCAGCCAGCATGCCAGCAATTCTGGGAGTTGAAGTCCACGCTTCTTAAAATGGCCAAGGTTTAGCAACTCTGATCTAGGGAGTGCATCACTGTTCTAGGCAGTGCTTATCAGCTGCTACCACCAGGAAATTCCTTCTAATATTCAGTCTGAATTTCCTTTCTTTTAATTTCATTCTCTTGATCCATGCTCAGCCTCACTCTCCATCCATTCCTTTTGCATATGACAGCCTTTTAGGTATTTGTAGACTATTATCACATTTCCCCTTCATCTTTAGAAAGACGCGCAGAGTGCAGGGGAGGAGGGGAAGAGGAAATCTAATTACAGCCATGAACCAAACTCCACACATCCACATTGGAAAGGCTTCTAATCTATTTTGGAAGGACAGTCACTCACTGAGTACACAGGCATAAGATTGTGTCATTTCACCCATTCTCCTTCCACGTTCCCTGCTCCAGCCAGGCTTATTATCCATTATGACATAGATAACAATACTTAAATGCAAAAAAGTACTTTTTTATGGTGCAGTTATTAATGAAGCCGTTTCTTTTCTAAATTTAGGCTCGTAATTCTTTACATGCCATGTTTTATTTTCCCATCACAAACTCTTGCTTTATTTTCTGGAGGAAGAAATATTTAATACAGTTGATGTATCAATCCCACAAGCCTGCAGTCTACCCACATTCGTTATAGACTCTCTTGAGCATCCTCTCTCTACCCCATACACAGATATATCTCCATGTAGGAATGATATCAGGATCACATTCCAGCAGTAGAGGTGAGCATGTTTTCAATTCACTGAAAGTAACACCTTTAAGCAAACTTAATTCCGTGTTACCCCTAGGCCTATGTGTAAATCCTCATGCCACAATATGAGGGGAGAGGGGTTGAAGGCAGGGAGAGATCTCTCTCTAAGGCTATCTAAAATTACAGAAGTAGTGGATTTCTCGGTGCACAGCTCTATAACTACCCTACATTAGCTCCAACAGCTTCCTTCAGGCAGAGCACTGTCCAATCAGAAGACCGAGGAGTTCATCATTGATCTGGGCCTTTTCCACAAACCCAGTTTTTACTGTTTCTCTCCAGCGTGGGTCCTCTCATGTTTATTAAGAATCGTCCTCCGAATGAAGCCTTTCCCACAATCCGCACATTTAAATGGCTTCTCTCCTGTGTGGGTTCTCTCATGCACAATGAGACTTGAACTCTGGTTGAACCCCTTCCCACAATCGGAGCATTTGTACGGCTTCTCTTCCGTGTGGATCCGCTCATGCCTGATAAGGCTCGATTTGTCACTGAAGCTTTTCTCACAGGCTGTGCAACTGTACGGCTTCTCCCCGGTGTGGATCCGCTCGTGTTTAATGAGACTGGATCGGTCGCTGAAGCTTTTCCCGCAATCGGAACACTTGTAAGGTTTCTCCCCCGTGTGGGTCCTCTCGTGGTTCGTCAGGTTGGACTTCCGGTTGAAGCTCTTCCCGCAGAACGAACAATCGTAGGGTTTCTCCCCCGTGTGTGTCCCCTCATGTCTTATCAAATGCGACCGGCTACTGAAGCTTTTCCCACAGTCCGAGCACTTAAATGGCTTCACTCCTGTATGGATCCTTTCGTGAGTCAAGAGGTGAGACCGCCGCACAAAACTTTTCCCACAGCTGGAACACTTGTACGGCTTGTCCCCTCGGTGGGCTCGCTCGTGTTTATTGAGGCTCGACTTGTCGCTGAAAGGTCTCCGGCAGTGTGAGCAACTGTATGGTTTTTCCCCTGTGTGGATTCTCCGGTGTATGACGAGGCTTGAATTCTGATTAAACCCTTTGCCACAGTCTGGACACTTGAACGGCTTCAAACCGGTATGCTTCATCTCGTGAATCAGAAGGTTAGATTTCTGGACAAAGCCTTTTCCACAGGCTGTGCAGCTATAAGGTTTCTCTCCCCGGTGGATCCTCTCATGCGCAAGAAGACTTGAGCTCTGAATAAATCTCTTCTCGCAGCCCGAGCATTTGTAGAGTCTCTGTTCTCTATGGATCCTTTCATGCCGCACGAGGGTGGAACTCTGGTTGAACCTTTTCCCGCATTCCAAGCATTTGTAGGGTCTCTGCTCCGTGTGACTTCTCTCATGCCTGATGAGGCTGGAGCTCTGGTTGAACCGCTTCCCACACGCGGAGCAACTGTACGGCTTCTCCCCGGTGTGCTTCCGCTTATGCCTGATGAGACTAGACCCATCACTGAAGCTGTTGCCACATTCGGAGCACCGGAATGGCTTCTCTCCCGTGTGGATTCTCTCATGGGTACGAAGGTTGGACCTTTTCATGAAGCTTTTGGTACAGCGAGAGCATTTGTGTGGCTTCTCCACTGTGCTTTGGTTCTCTTGTTTGATACGGTTTGGTTTGTCAGTGAAACTTCTCACATAGCTGGAGTAAAATGGTATTTCTCTCTCCAACATTCTGTCATGGCCATCTCCTATCCGGAGAAACAAAGAAATGTTCATTTTTCTCAAGTCAGGATTAAGACTTCAATCAACACCCTGTTGATTGGTGGGGGGAGTCAAAAATTCAAGATGGCAGCCATGACTGTTCAATTGAAACCTGGCCCCAAGGACTGCCATTTTGACTTGGGGGCTTGATCACATGGCTATAGCCACCATCTTGACTTTTTTGACTCTCCCTGTGGACATCTTGGTTTTCAATAACAACATAACCATTTCCAAAAAATCTTTACTATAGAGCTACACAACTTGTAGCCCTAGACCAAATCTAGCTCCCCAATTTTTTTCAACTAACCTAAAGACCATCTTCTTTGCTCATACAACCATTACACATCTCTATCACTTCTTTAAGCTCAACTTAAATGACAAAGTTACCCAACTTCTTGGATGAGCTCTGGAAGTAAGATTGATATTCTACTTCAAAGTTCTCTAAATTAGGTTTCTAGAGGAAGAAGTATTTTGTTATGTTTTAATGTAATCTATTCTTTATTCCTGAGCTCAACAAAGTTTCTTCATTTTGTACCGGTAACCTGTCTGCAAAAAACTTTAAGCATTGTTTATTTTTATTTTATGTAGTTTGATCAAGGAGACAACTGCCCCAAATTGCTCAGTAGCAATTGTGTAATTAGTTGCCTCCTCCCAGGCAGTAAACTAGTTTGTAACACTTGAGCTATGTTCTTACAACACACTGAACCAGGTTGCTGAAAGATTTAGTGCGGATGAAGCGCCTGGAGGAAGAAAAGTGGTTGGATCTGTGCCAAGGTCATGGATTTTTTTAGGGAAGGCAGATGGCTTAGCACAAGGCCAAGAGTGTGTAGACAGAAAGGGGAAAATGCTAGAAGCCACTGTAAAGTGGCATGTACATGCCTTAGTTATAGAACAGAGTTTTTAAATTCGTTGCTCTCAAACTTGCTCCCCTTCCCACTTTTAAAAATTATGGAGGATCCCAAAAGAGCTTTTGTTTGAATGGGTTATATTTATCAATAATTACCATATTAAAAAGTTAAAATTGATGCATTTCTAGAATATTTATTGAATCATGTAAAAACAACAATATTAATCCCCTTAGATACTAACATCAATAAAATATTTTTTATGAAAAACCTCTGTCTTTTTTAACAAATAAAAAGTAACAATGAGAAGAGTGACGTTGTTTTAAGTTTTTGCAATTATCTTCAATGTCTGGCAAATAATTTTAATTTTGCAGACCCCTGAGAGGATCCTGGGGGACCCGAGGTGTCCTTGGACCACACTTAGAATATAAAATGAGTAAGGAAAAGCAGAGAAAGGATTTTTTAAAATGGCAGATGCCGCTGGAGAGGACACCACCTGGTTAACCTGGAATGGAGTGGAACCTGCCCGCTCTAGGGATTCAGGCCCTGAGACAGGGAAAAAACCCTGGAGTGATTTGTAAGACTGTGGAAAAAACAGGAGGACAGACTCCATTGTGTGTATGGAGATTCAGATGCTGGACAGTGGGACAATGTGAGTTAAAGGTTTTGTCTGGGAGCAAGCCAGCCAGGAGAAAACTTACAGACATTCCAGTCTCAGTTATTGAGGAAGGAGCAGAGGAAGGAGCCGTAATAAATTACAAGCGGAAAGGGAGGGAAAGAGACTTGAGAGGAAGGAAAATGAAGTAAGTTAAGACTATCTATGCTTTAGAGCAGTATTTCTCAATCTTGGCAACTTGAAGATGGGTGGACTTCAACTCCCAGAATTCCCCAGCCAG